GGAGACGTTCCAGCACGCTCCTGACATGTCCCCGATGCGCCTCCAGAGACGAGGAGAATATTAAAATGTCGTCTAGGTAGAAGATTACAAAAATGTCAAGGAAATCCCTGAAAATGTCATTGACAAAGTGCTGGAAGGTGGCTGGCGCATTACATAACCCAAAAGGCATAACTAGACATTCAAAATGCCCGAACCAAGTGCAAAAAGTTGTTTTCCACTTGTCCCCCTCACGTATACGCACCAGGTTATAGGCACCCCTAAGATCAAGTTTAGAAAAGATTGATGCTGTCTTCAACCTCTGGAACAACTCTGGGACCAAAGGAAGGGGGTAGCGGTTTTTGACCGTAATTTTATTGAGGTCCCTGTAGTCTACACAAGGTCTCAGTGATCGGTCCTTTTTTTCGACAAAAAAGATCCCTGCCCCAGCCGGTGATGTGGAAGGGCGGATAAATCCCTTCCAGAGGCTCTCATCAATGTATTCATTCAGGGCCCCTAGCTCACATTCTGACAGTGGGAAAATGCAGCCGAAAGGGATTTCAGAACCCAGGAGCAGATCAATGGGACAATCATATACCCGATGCGGGGGAAGAATCTCTATCCCCCGTGGACTAAACACATCAAGTAATTGATGATAGGCCGCAGGCACAATTTGGGCTAACTCGGCATCAGGGCTCACAGCTAATAGGGTCGGTGTATCTAGTGACAACCTAGATTAGCAATGTTCTTGACAGTATAGTGAGGGGAACAGGACTGCCCCGGTCTTCCAGTTAATATGGGGGTCGTGAGCTCATAGCCTGGGGAGCCCCAGAATAACTGGAAATAGGGGGGACGCGATGGCGTCCAAACGGAGAAGCTCCTGGTGATGCCCCGCCACTGTGGTGTGTATAGGAGGGGTCTCTTCCGATCTACCGTCCCCCGATTTTATTTGAGACCCATCCACCAAGAAAATATTCAGGCCATGCCGTTGGCGAGTAACGGTATCTGATACTGGGTAGCAAAACCAAGATCGACAAAGCAGCTACATGCCCCAGAATCAATAATAGCCGTCACCTGTATGCTTCTTCTGGGGAGATGAAAAGACACAGGCACAGCCCAGTGAATGGGGTTGCCTGCGCACACAGTAGATATAGTAGAAAAAAACTGGAAGAAGACTTACTGTATTTCTCAGGACAGGAGCGCACCATGTGATCCGCTGCTCCGCAGTACAGACACAGATTGTTAGCTTGACGCCTTTGTTGTTCCTCTGTGGAAAGGGAAGGCCGCATTAAGCCGAGTTGCGTGGGCTCAGCCCCCTCTGACAGCTCTGGACTCCGATTGCCGACACTGACCCTTGGCATGACTGGTACCCTTGGCAGCATCCATGAGGTTCTTTGCCCCTGGCTGGACCTCTCCTGTCTCCTTTCCCGCAATCTGCGATCGATTTGAATGGCCCGGTCTATTAGGCCTTCCAAGGAGTCAGGGACTCCTATTCTTGCCAATTCATCCTTTAGCAGTTCCGACAATCCCAACCGGAAATGATGGCGTAAGGCTGCGCCATTCCATTGAGTGTCTCCACTCCAACGCCTAAACTCAGCAGCATAATCCTCCGCAGCCCGGTGTCCCTGTTGTAGGGAATAGAGGGCTGCCTCAAGTGCAAATGCGCGAGCGCCGCTGCAATCGCGGGTGCCCTGGTCCCAATGCTCGCATGCTAGTGCGGCCAGGCACACCGCGCATGCGCAGACTCGTGCGCAATAGCGGCCAGCTCTGGGGTCCCTGACAGTCCGTTTGGTTTACATGGGTTTCTTGGAGGAATGCAAAGTCAGTTTTCATACATTTGAGATGCCGAAGAATTGCCATGCGTTTATGGGGCGATCTCAAACCTTTAACATTCCATGAAATCACATGGATCATGGATACGTTGGTGCGGGGGTGTTTAGAAAGGAATTAATATCTTTCTGAAGTGGTGACTGTTGTGATTGTTGGGGGCCCATGATCTCAGGTAAGTTATTTTGTAGGTAGAGAAGGGCTTCTTCTGGCTGCGTGAATGATTTGGATTCCCCTGAAGGCGTAGTGAAGCAAAGTGTAGCAGGGTATGCAAGGGTGAATTTGACCCCTTTTTGAAATAGTGTAGCACATATTTGCTGGAACGACTTACGTTTGCGGGAGACTTCTTGCGAGTAGTCAGCAAACAGTAAAAGCTTATGGCCGTCCAGTTGTAGGGAACGTGAGTTGCAAAACGAATTGAGAATGGCTACCCGGTCGGCGTAGTTAAGATATTTGACAATTGTAGATGCGTCTATCATTTGAGGGTGCGCCTAATCGGTGTGCCCTTTCGACCTGGCAAGGTGACGTGATTCCCAGTGCTGTGGGTATGCGGTTAGAGCAGATATCAGATAGTAGGCCTGTATTGTATGATTCTGGTAGGCCTACGACACGGAGGTTGTTCCTGCGTGAGCGATTTTCCAAGTCATCCAACTTATCTAGGATGATCTGTTGTACGCGTTTGGACTGTGTAGACCTCACCTGCATAGCTTGAAACTCGTTCTAAGTCTGAGAGGCAGAGTTCAGCTTCGGTTATGCGTTTGGCGTTTTCCCCCAGATCACTTCAGAGCTGTTCTATACCATGAGTTACTGCTCTGTCTACTGCCTGAGTGATGGTGGGTAGCAACAAAGAGGCAAACAGCCTGTGCAACTACTAGTCCCAGCATGCCCTGTCAGGAGAGTGTGGGGCGGCTGTGCCTCTCTCCTACCTGGTCATGGTCCTGGACCTGGGTCTGGCTCCTGCTCTGTCTCCATGTTGGCTGATGATTGATTTACACTGTGGCTGCTGTGCTGTTCAGCAGTTGTGATGGGGCTGCTTTCTGCAGCGTGGTTGATGGCGGCCATCTTAGCTGCATGGATGGGAGACCTGTCCCTCTGTGCAGGAGCCACGGGATCCTGTCCGGGTGTCGTTGGCCGTAAGTACCGCTCCATAGAGGATTGGGAGCGGGGAGTGCAGGGGGGCACTCCTGTGCCGTAGTGATATGTCCTCCTGTGCAGGATGCTGATAATACAGGCTGGTTGATCCGAAGCCGCGGGATACCCTCCTTAGCTCATGCGGCGCCGGGAACCAGAAGTCCTCCGGCTTTAAGTACAATCTCTATGCTGATGACATGCAAATCTATCTTTCTATCCCTCACCTCGCCCCTTCAGTCTCCTCTCGCATTACTAACCTACTAAGCGACATATCGGCATGGATGTCACTCCACTTCCTCAAACTCAATCTTTCCAAAACTGAGCTCTTAGTATTGCCTCCAGCCCGTGCCCCCTCCCCTAACTTCTCCATCAAAATCAATAACACAATCATCAGTCTCTCCCCTCATGCCAGGGTGCTAGGTGTAACCCTAGACTCCCATCTGTCCTTTCAGCCCCAAATCCAATCACTGTCCAAATCTTGTAGACTTCACCTCCGCAACATCTCCAAGATACGGCCATTCTTAACCTCGGAAACCACTAAGAAACTTATTCACTCCCTTGTTATATCTAGCCTTGACTATTGTAACTCCCTCCTTATTAGCCTACCTGATTGCAGGCTATCCCCTCTTCAGTCTATCATGAACGCTGCTGCCAGACTCATCCACCTTACTAACCATTCTGTATCAGCCTCCCCTCTCTGCCAATCCCTCCACTGGCTTCCCATTGCCCAACAGATAAAATTCAAAACATTAACAATAACATATAAAGCCATTTATAACTCTGCCCCAAATTACATCACCAATCTTGTATCCAAATATCACCCAAACCGTCCTCTACGCTCCTCACAAGACCTCCTGCTCTTTAGCTCCCTTGTCTCCTCCTCCAATGCTCATCTCCAGGACTTCTCCAGAGCTTCCCCCATCCTCTGGAAATCTCTACCCCAATTTATCAGACTATAGCCTTCTCTGCTCACTTTTAGGCAATCTCTGAAAACCTATCTCTTCAGGGAAGCCTATCCTGCCCTCAGCTAATAATGGAATCTTCTACTCTTTCTACCAGTCCATCCCCCACAGCTATTACCTTTTGCACCACTAACCCCTCCCTCCTAGATTGTAAGCTCCAAGGAGCAGGGCCCTCCTATTCCTCTTGTATTGAACTGTATTGTTGCTGTATTGTCTCCCTTTATATTGTAAAGCGCTGAGCAAACTGTTGGCGCTATCTAAATGCTGTATAATAATAATAATAATAAAGCAAGCCCTCAGGTGACAGAAAAGTCACCATTTTCTTGAAGCCCACTCAAATGAATAGATCAATCTAAATACCTTCGTTCAGATCGGCCCACATATGACATCATCGGCTGGGTGCGGACATTCGAGATACAACTGCGCATGTGCGAAGGCTCTAATGCACGTGTGCAAACCAGTGATAGGCTACCATAATGAAAAAGCTGACAGGACGTAGCTCATTAAGAGAGGGAGCAATACAAGTGGGACTTTGGCAGAGCTGGCTTAAATAGACCAGACCTCAATTCTATTGCCATCTTGTGGCTGAAAAGAAAAGTTACAGCCAGAAGAAAATATACAAAGAATTGATCAACAAAAAAACATGAATAGCTAAAAAAAACGAAAAACATAATTAAGGAAATTAAAGATTGATCCAAATAAATCAGCCTTTTGCTCTATTGCCCCTGAATACTAGAATCAAGAATGCTAAAAAAAAGGAGTAAATAAATAGTAAATGGCACCAATTCAATGGATAAATAAAAATGAACCAGAAGGCGCACTTTATATATCCTGCGCTTAAGGAAGTAGTAATAAACGCCAGATTGGATAATGGTCCTTCTAAATTAAACGTATTTTATCTCAAGCTGTTTGGAGCCTTGCAAAAATTGCAGTTGTATATGAAGGCGAGTCAACCAAATGTACAAGGGTGACTACACCCTGGGCGTCTATACAACTACCAAGAGGACGTTAAGCTATAGAAAGAGGTATTAGTGATTTACAATTCACATCCAGAAAATTCATAGGGGTGCACATCTTAAGAATCCTATAATTAAGAAAAATGTTCAGATTTTAACCACTAGCATACAGGGCACTTATACCCCCTTCCTGCCCAGGCCAATTTTCAGCTTTCAGCGCTGTCACATTTTGAATGACAATTGCGTGGTCATGCAACACTGTACCCATATGAAATTTTTATACTTTTTTAGAGACAGATAGAGCTTTCTTTTGGTGGTATTCAATCACCTCAGGGTTTTTTACTTTTTGCTAAACATACCAAAAACCACAGGAAATTTTGAAAAAAAAAGTTTTTTCTTAGTTTTTGTTATAAAATTTTGTAAATAAGTGATTTTTTTCCTTCACCGATGTGCGCTAATGAGGCTGCAGTGATGGGCACTGATAGGCTGCACTGATGGACACTGGTAGGTGGCACTGATGGGCATTGACAGGCATCACTGATGGGCACTGAAAGGCAGCACTCATATATGGCACTGATAGGTGACACTGATAGGCGGCATGGACTGGCACTGATAGGCGGCACTGACTGGCACTGTTAGGTGGCATTGACGGGCACTGTTAGGAGGAACTGACTGGCACTGATAGGCGGCACTGACTGGCACTGATAGGCGGAACTGACTGGCACTGATAGGTGACACTGAAAGACAGCTCATATGGGCACTGATATGTGGCATTGATGTGCACTGGTAGGCACTGATATGTGGCATTGATGTGGCACTGGTGGGCACTGGCAGGTGGCATTGATGAGCACTGACAGCTGGCACTGATGGATATTGACAGGTGGCACTGCTGGGGCTACACAGATCATCAGGGCACACTGATCATCAGTGGCCTGATGATCAGTGCACATGTCCCCTCTGAGTAAGGCAGATTACCGGCTCTCCTCTCGAGCTGTCAGCGTGACAGCTTGTGAGGAGAGAAATGCCGATAACCGGCATTTCCCTATTTACATGTGATCAGCTGTGATTGGACACAGCTGATCACATGACCAAGCCGACATCTTTGGCTCTTTCCGTTGATCGGTGCACCACCGATCGCCACACTGCGTGCTGCCAGAGCTGTGCATGCGCAGTTAGAATGGGAGGATGTCATATGACTTCCTCCCAGAATGAGAGAACCGCCTTGCGCCCGTCATTACCTTATATGGCGGGCGGGAGGCAGTTAAACAAAAGTTAAACCTAATAAGAATATAAACAAATACCAACACTGATTGTAGTACCAAATTATATATACAAAATACATAAATAAACTATTATGGAATGTAATTGAGGGAAAACATTTGAATGATTTTCTAATCTCTGTATGAGAGAAAGAGAAGCAGGACAAGGCCAAAAATGTACTATGAAAAAGGTTTGAAACTCAAGGATTCATTCAAGCCTGGGTATGAGTAGCATTAAGCCTATAGATCCAACGCGTCTCAAGTTGGAGGAGTGTTTGATCATAATTCCCACCTTGTACATGTAGGGGGATATGTTCAAGGGCCATGAATTTAATCATTCCTAGATCAAAATTATGAGATAGACCTACATGTCTACTCATAGGAGTTTCCATCATATGATTTTTAACGAGGGAAACGTGACCTCTTATTGGTTCAATAAAAGGATGTTTTGTTTTGCCCACATAGAAACAACCGCAGAGGCATTTCATCAGATAAACTATAGCTGGTGTTTGACAGGTAATTCTGTATTTAATACGGTGGACTGAACCATCTGGGAGATGAACTTACTAGAGCTTAACGTCCTCTTGGCAGTTGTACGGAAGCCCAGGGTGTAGTTACCCTTGTACATTTGGTTGACTCGCCTTCATATACAACTGCAATTTTTGAAAGGCTCCAAACAGCTTGAGATAAAATACATTTAGTTTAGAAGAACCATTATCCAATCTGGTGTTTTTATTTCTACTTCCTTAAGTGCAGGATATATAAAGTGCACTTTCTGGTTCATTTTTATTTATCCATTGAATTGGTGCAATTTAATTATTTACTCTTTTTTTAGCATTCTTGATTCTAGTATTCAGGGGGCAATAGAGCAAAAGGCTGATTTATTTGGATCAATCTTTAATTTCCTTAATTATGTTTTTGGTTTTTTTTATTTAGTTATTCATCTTTTTATGTTGATCAATTCTTTGTATATTTTTCTTCTGGCTGTAACTTTTCTTTTCAGCCACAAAATGGCAGTAGAATTGAGGTCTGGTCTATTTAAGCCAGCTCTGCCAAAGTTCCACCTGTATTGCTCCCTCTCTTAACCACTTGCCTACCAGGCACTTATACCCCCTTATTTACCAGGCCAATTTTCAGCTTTCAGCGCTGCCGCACTTTGATTGACAATTGCGTGGTCATGCAACATTGTACCCATATGAAATTTTGATCATTTTTTTCTCACAAATAGAGCTTTCTTTTGGTGGTATTTAATCGCCACTGGGCACTTTACTTTTTGCGCTATAAATAAAAAAGTGCAAAAAATTTGAAAAAAAAAAGTTTCTGTTTCTATTATAAAATTTTTCAAACAGGCATTTTTTCTCCTTCACTGATGTGCGTTGATGAGGCAGCACTGATGGGCACTGATAGGCGGCACTGATGGGCAGCACTAAAGGGCACTGATAGGCAGTACTAATGAGGTGGCACGGATAGGCGGCACTGATAGACAGCACTAATGAGGTGTCACGGATAGGCGGCACTAATATGCAGCACTGATAGGCGGCACTGATAGGTGACACTGATGATGGGTACTGATAGACGGCACTGACTGGCATCACTGCTGGGCACTGACTGGCGGCACTGACTGGCACAACCCCTGGGCACTGACTGGTGGCACTGACTGGCAGCACTGCTGGGCTGCACTGGTGGGTGGCACTGGTGGGCAGCACTGGTGGGGTGGGCACAGGTGGGTGGCACTGGTGGGCACAGGTGGGTGGGCACAGGTGGGTGGCACTGCTGGGCACAGGTAGGTGGCACTTCTGGGCACAGGTGTGTGACACTGCAGAGTGGCACAGGTGGGTGCACTGCTGGGCACAGGTGGGTGATCTGCTGGGTACAGGTGGGCGGAGCTAGTGGGTGCACTGCTGGGCACAGGTGGGCGGAACTTGCGGGTGGCACTGCTGGGCATTGATCATCAGGGCACTGATCATCAGTGCCCTGATGATCGGTGCCGAACCCTGCTCTGACAACTGCCGGTTCTCGGCAGTACTTTCCTCACGATCTGACAGCGTAAGGAAAGTGCAGCCGAGAACCGGCACTTGCATTTCCCTCTGATGAGCGTGTCATTGGACACAGCTGATCACGTGGTAAAAGGCCGCTGTGATTGACCTTTTACCACATCACGTGATCAGCTGTGTCCGTAGGACACAGCGATCACGGAGATCGCCGGGTGCGCGCCCCCTGGGGCGCGCAGGAGAGCGCGTTCTGGGAGGACGTCATATGACGTCCACTCAGAACTGGCCGGCCGCAGTGCAGCCGTCATTCGGCTATCTGCGGTCGGCAGGTAGTTAATGAGCTATGGCCTGTCAGCTTTTTCATTATGGAGGCCTATCACTGGTTTGCACATGTGCATTAGAGCCTTCACACTTGCGCAGTTGTATCTCGGACATCCACACCCGGCTGATGACGTCATACGTGGGCCGGCGTAGAGGATATAAAAGAAGGCAGGTATTTTAACCACTAGCCTACAGGGTACTTATACCCCTTTCCTGCCCAGGCCAATTTCCAGCTTTCAGTGCTGTCACACTTTGAAAGACAATTGCGCGTTCATGCAACACTGTACCCATATGAAATTTTTTATCTTTTTTTGAGACAGCTTTCTTTTGGTGGTATTTAATCACCTCTGGGATTTTTATTTTTTCTTAAACAAACCAAAAACCAGAAAATTTTGAAAAAACAAAAGGTTTTTCTTAGTTTTTGTTATACAATTTTGTAAATAAGTGATTTTTCTCCTTCACTGATGTGCGCTAATGAGGCTTTAGTGATGGGCACTGATAGGCTGCACTGATGGACACTGATAGGTGGCACTGATGGGCACTGATGAGGAGGCACTGGTAGGTTGCACTGATGGGCATTGACAGGCATCACTGATGGGCACTGAAAGGCAGCACTGATACATGACACTGATAGGCGGCACTGACTGGCACTGATAGGCGGCACTGACTGGCACTGTTAGGCGGCACTGACTGGCACTGTTAGGCGGCACTGACTGGCACTGATGGGTGAGATTGGACACAACTGATCATATGACCGAGCCGACATCTTCGGCTCTTTCTGTGGTCCGCTGTGTCCGAGGGACACAGCGCACCGGCAATCGCCACGCTCCCTCAGCCGCGCATGCGCTGTGAGAATGGAAGAACGTCATATGACATCCTATCAGAAAGAGAGAACCACCTTGCGCCCGTCATTGTACTCTATGTCAGGCAGAAGGTGGTTAAAAATGGCCCTTCTGCTAATCACCAGTGTACATTGAATATCTTGGAAGCTGTTTTGGATCTGAACGAAGGTATTTAGAACAAGAACATGGTGACTTTTCTGTCACCTGAGGGCTTGCTTTATATGCATTCTTACAGTAGTGAATTGTTTTTTCAGCTAATATCTTCTGGACTTATGTCCTTTGCTGACACCTAATGGTGGAATTGGAAATTGATCTTCAATTAAAATCTTTTTTAATCCACATTGTCCTTGCTACTTGATTTGCAATATTTAACAGGTAAAATCAGTTTAGGTAACCTTAACCCTTCAATAACTTATAACCTTTTCCTTATATTCCTTCTTGGAATTAAATTAATTTTTGTTTCCTCTATGTTTATTCCGTTATGCCTAGATGGATATCTGATACCCATTATATTTTCCAACTTTATCCTGGTACGCCCACATGGATATTTGATGCCCATTATATTCTTCAACCTTTTTGGACATTATAGGCCAATTAGATCTTTAGACAGAATATAGCTTTATATCTTTCTGCAATTTCAACAGGTAAAATCGCTTAAATTCATATTTATTACTCAACACCTTTTGATTTCTTCTTTGAAATTAAATTAGTTTCTGATCTCTCTGTCTATCCTATTATGTCTAGATGGATGTTTGATGTCCATTGTTTCCTCTCCTGTGGTTGTGGACGTATAGGTCAATTAGATTCTTGTTAGGTTATACCTATATATCCTTCTAAGCATTTAACAGGTAAAATTGCCCAAAATTAACCTTAACCTAATGAATTATGATCTCTTCTTCATATCTTCTATTAAATGTAATTAGTTTCTTTTTTGTCTATCCTATTATGCCTAGATGATATTTGATGCCCATTATATCCTCTACAACTGTTTTGGACGTGTAGGCCAATTAAGATCTTTGTAAGGTTATTTCCTCCTAGCTCCGTGAGCTTTCACATCCAGGGTGAGCCATTGAGTCCATTATATATATATTTATTTGATTAAACACTTTGTATCAGATATATTAAAGTTGTTTGGTAATTGTATAATTTTCCTTTGATATACCTTTAGACTGCCTAGGCGGTTGAAATCTCTTCAAAAAAATCTCCCCTGAAGAAGCCCATGTGGGCAAAACATGTAGGGAGTAACTAAAATTATATAACAAGTTTGAATCTCAGTTTTACTCTTAGTACTGAAATTGTTTTTATGTTTCTGTATTTTTTCCTTTTTTGTTGTGTTTTTTTTATAAAAATACGAAATAAAAAATTACATAACTTTTTAATATGTTTGGTATTCATGTTCATGCTCCCTGAAAGTCCCACCTTCTCTATTGAATATTTGCAATTTTAAGTGATGTGGTGCAATAATCATATCTGGTCGCCCGCTCGCCACTTCACTGTTATTATAGTTTGAAACATAACAAAGATCCATCTAGTTTACAGGTAATGGATATAGACAAGCATATATTTCTCAACTCGAAACAAGATGGATTTTTAATTTAAGATCATATATCCCCTATGGCTACTATGTGGAATGGGTAATAGGTTTATTGGTAATAATTAAATATAAACTAAGATGTGAGTTGTGGTATTTTCTGATATATTATTCATTATTTTATAGTATTTATAAATTGATATTTCAGTAATGTGTAGCTTTCTGTCTTGGGATATATTAATTTTTATCTAATCCATCACGCGGGCTCCTAACCGCCGTTTTTTAAGTGCAATATTCCAGGTTCTGCAATCTTTCCGAAGCTTAATCAATAGAAATAGTTCATCTCAATCCCCTCTGAAGAAGCGAGGATAAATGGAAAAAACGTGGAAAAATCGAATGGCTGGCACTCGCCAATAATGTTAGATTTCCAGAGTTATGAAAAAAACTCTATTAGTATTTCTAGGTTCTTGTAGATGGTTGTGGGAAGAAATCCTTATGGAAGCCAGGTCAGTATGAGCAGTGTGACTTTATTTGATCACACACCAAAAATACAAAGTCAATAAAAAACAGTAAATTCAGATATATGTAGCTTAAAATGAAATAAAATAAAGAATATAAGTTGCTTGTTCCTTGAATATTAGAAGAAAATGTAGTTCCTTTGAATAGCTTAAATATAGGTTTTCCAGGCCTAGCTTAAAAACGTGCTTCCTTTGTTCTTTGTTCAAGCACGTGCTTTGAGTAAGAATGTGTGCAAAAATGTCTCTGTGTGCGTGAATGAAGTGAAGTGTAGTGTATCTGAGAAGCTTCTGGCCTCGTTCTTTGAAAAGCTGCATACTTAAAATGCATGAGAAATTAGGTCCTCCCATTAAGCTTTGTTTCAAATTTGCGGGCTCCTAAAACTACTCCCATAGTCACTCCTAGCTTAACTAAAAACATGTGTTTCTATTCAAACCACCAAGTCATTATCATGATTGACATGCAGACTATGAAAAAGGTTTCTGAAGTTCTTATGTTACATACAACTGTCAAAATCCATGATTTATGACTACAATCTAAACTCTCAGACTCATTATAAGAATTCAAAATAGAGTATACATTACATAGAGTATTTTAAAAGAAAACATGAATTTAAACCTCTGCTGATTACCCTTAGCTCAGACACAAATAATTCACATCTGACCACTGAAATGCAAAACCTCACATTCACATCCAATTAAGAGGGTATTTTCTGCCAGCATATATTTCAGAACTACTAAAGACCGAAATAAAGTTTGGATATTAAAAATTAATATTACAGTATCAATGGGAGAAATAGTGCCCCATCGTTGGTATCAATGGGAGAAATAGTGCCCCATCGTTGGTATCAACAGGAGAAGTAACGCCCCATCGTTGGTATCAGCGGGAGAAATAGTGCCCCATCATTGGTATCAATGGGGAGAAATAGTGCCCCATCATTAGTATCAATGAAAGGAATAATGCCCCATCATTAGTACCAATGAAAGGAATAGTGTCCCATCACTGGTTTCAATGGGAGAAATCATGCCTCATCACTGGTATCGATAGGGGGAATAGTGCCTCATCATTGGTATCAATAGGGGGAATAATGCCCCATCATTGGTATCAATAGGAGGAATAATGCCCCATCATTTGTATCAATAGGGGGAATAGTGCCCCATCTCTGGTTTCAATGGGAGAAATAGCGCATCATCATTGGCATCAAAAGGGGGAATAGTGCCCAATCATTGGTATCAATAGGGGGAATAGTGCTCCATCATTGGTATCAATAGGGGGAATAGTGCCCCATCATTGGTATCAATAGGGGAAATAGCACTCCATCATTATTATCAATAGGGGGAATAGTGCCCCATTATTGGTATGAATAGGGGGGATAATGCCCCATCATTGGTATCAATAGGGGAAATAGTGACCAATCATTGGCATCAATAGGGGGAATAGTGCCCCATCATTGGTATCAATAGTGGGAATAGTGCTCCATAATTGTTTTCAATAGGAGGAATAGTGCCCCTATGTCGATGTCAGTGAGAGAAACTATGCCACACTGTTGCTTGTAGTGGGAGAAATAATGCCAGAGGGCTGGATAAAAGCAAGCAAAGGGCCACATCTGGCCCACAAGCCACAGTTTGGAGACAACTGCTATATATATAAACAAAGTTTTCTATGTGAAAAAAGAACGTATTTATAATTTTTTAGCAATTTTTAATTAATTGTAGAGATACGGAAGAGAAAACTATTTTCTTTGTCGCTGTAGAGCGCTTCTATAAATTGTAAAGGCACGACAGAACGTTTAGACTCGTCCCCTTGATAAAGTCCATTCGGACAAAATGTACATTGGGGAGGGGAAGTCCGTGCTGATGTCATCCTCGCTAGCTGGAGCCAGCACCAGCGGCGTTCTGTGAATGTGATATTTAGATCTTAATTTTGTGAGTAGAATCCGTTTTTGCTTTTATCCAATAAATCATTGCGGTACGTCACCACAGAGATTATTCTTTGTATTTGAGTGCTTCATTATTAATGAGGAAGGATATCAAGAGTAGATAATCCAAATCGGATCACACACAGCTTCAAGCCTCCTATAAACTGGGGTCTATATCTCTGGCAAGAGGCTGTGCTTGGTGGTGGAGCACTAATCACTGGATTGCCCTCCAGAGAATTTACCCCGATCAGGCCATTTTTTGGATACGGCGCTGCGGTACTTTATCTGGCAATCTTTTTGACTTTTTGCTATAAAACATATCCAACAAAAAAAAATCTTAAAAATCTAATTTCTTCATAAATTTAGGCCAAAATGTATTCTCATGTCTTTGCTCTCCCAATACATATAAATTAATTGGTTTACATGAAAGTTATAGTGTCTACAAATAGCGATATATATATACTGGAATTTTTATTTTATTTATACTAGTAATGGTGGTGATCAGCAACTTATAGCAGGACTGCAATGGGTATTCTGACTTCTGACACTGGGTGGGAACTGACTAACTGCCACTGACAACCCAATGACACTAATACAGTGATCAGTGCTAATAAAAAGCACTGACACTGTACTAATGACACTGGGCAGGAATGGGTTAACATCTGGGGTGATCAAAGGGTTAACTCTGTACTGTGCTGTGTTTTAGGTAATGTGCTGTGTGTGTTTTACTAGGCAGTCATGCTGCTGTGTATTTCTCTGCTGTGCAGAGAAATGCACAGCAGCATGTGCTTGCTGGCAGGAGAGAGACCTGTGTTGTTTACACACAGGTCTCCCCCCTGTCAGTTTTATTCGGCGATCGCTTATGCCGGGGGGAATCTCCAGCCGGAACCTGGTGATTGACATGCCTAGCTGCCAATGGTGGCTAGTGTCCCCTACCTGGAAATGCAAATATATATCCATGATTTTGTGCAGCCCTCTGCCCTGTAGCTGTACTTCTACTATAGGGCAGTGGGCAAGCTGTTAATTAATGGACACTTTCTAATCACAGGAGAGATAATTTGACACATGCATTTTGTTGCCTATGTTATTTAAATAGAGATAGCATGTATTATTTTGTTTATTATCTAATGTCAAAATATTTATACTCAGCGCAACAATTTTTGGTGTATTAAAGCGGAGCTCCACCCAAAATGGGAAGTTCCGCTTTAAGCCTTTGTCCCCCGTTCCCCGTTAAGGATTGGCACCTTGAAGGAGCGGGTACCCAAATTTGACAGGTACCTGACCCCACTTCTGCTGCGATCGAAGTGAAAGTTGTCCTCCCCCTCCCTCCCCATAATTTTCTGGGACACGTGACAGGTTCCAGAAGACTATGAGACCATTCACAAAGTGCAGTGCTGTCACAGCTGGGTGCCCACACTGAAGATGCTGTCACCGGGGAGAGAAGACAGCCAGTGAAACCAACCGTGGTCAGGACACCGCTGGATCGAGGGACAGGTAAATGTCTGTATTTTAAAAGTCAGCAGCTAATGTTTTTGTAGCTACTGATTTTTTTTTTTATTCAACTGGAACTCTGCTTTAACCACTTGCCCTCCGCAAGATTTACCCCTCTTAATGACTAGGCCATTTTTTGCTATTCGGCACTGCGCTATTTCAACTGGTAATTGTGCGGTCATGCAATGCTGTATCCAAATGAAATTTATGTCTTTTTTTTTTATACAAATATAGCTTTCTTTTGGTGGTATTTAATCACCAATGGGTTTTTTTTTTGTTTTGTGATATAAATGAACAAAGACAGAACATTTTGAAAAAAAAAAAACATTTTTTTACTTTCGGTTATAAAAAAATATCGTAAAGTTAGTCAAAAAAATTAGGCTAAAATGTATTCTGTCACATGTCTTTGTTAAAAAAAAATCCTAATACATGTATAGTAATTGGTTTGTGTAAAAGTTATAGGTTCTACAAACTATGGTATATACAGTGGGGCTAAAAAGTATTTAGTCAGCCACCAATTGTGCAAGTTCTCCCACTTAAAATGATGAGAGAGGCCTGTAATTGGCATCATAGGTAGACCTCAACTATGTGAGACAAAATGAGAAAAAAAATCCAGACAATCACATTGGCTAATTTGGAAGGAATTTATTTGCAAATTATGGTGGAAAATAAGTATTTGGTCACCTACAAATAAGCAAGATTTCTGGCTCTCACAGACCTGTACCTTCTTCTTTAAGAGGCTCCTCTGTCCTGCACTCATTACCTGTATCAATGGCACCTGTTTGAACTTGTTATCAGTATAAAAGACACCTGTCCACAACCTCAAACAGTCACACTCCAAACTCCACTATGGTGAAGACCAAAGAGCTATCGAAGGACACCAGAAACAAAATTGTAGACCTGCACCAGGCTGGGAAGACTGAATCTGCAATAGGCAAGCAGCTTGGTGTGAACAAATCAACTGTGGGAGCAATAATTAGAAGATGGAAGGTACAAGACAATCCGCTGCCATCCGAGTGGCAGTGGACCTGAAACTCCGGTCGGAGGCACTGCGACAAGTGAGGGCACCAAGCGGAGGTGGGACGGGTGATTATTGCCCCCCTCCGTGGCAGCGATTCATCGCGGCTAGTGCAGCCTACTGTAGCCACCGCGGAGGCCGATATCGCGTCCCAGCGGGAGCCGGTGAGTGCGAGCTGGGGTGGGAGAGGACTCCTGTGGATCAGGCCCTCTTCCCAGAACAGCGATCAAAACCCCCCCCCCCTGGCCTCTTGGACCCCCCAGTTATTCTGTTCCCAGACGCCAGAACACATAAAGGCTTCTGATCCTGCTGCTCCCACAGAGTCGCCCCCCAAAATGCTTCCCGCGCAAAGCAGGACACCAGCCATTCCATCCACGGCCTGTCATCTTGATACACCACCTCTGACTATAGAGGACTTGAAAGCGGTTGCATCAGATATTAAAGAAACACTCTCTGCTGCAATAGCAGATTTACACTTTGACATGCAGGCAGTAGCCCAAAGGCTTGAAGTGGTGGAAGATAAAGTTATCACACAAGACCTTGCCATTCAGGATATGCACACGCTGGTGGATACACATACCATGCAACTAAGAGAGTTTGATCGCCACATCAAAGACCTGGACAACAAGGGTCGACGCCATAATTTTGAGGGTACGAGGTGTTGCTGAAGCAATCGAACCCAGTCAACTCACTCAAACGCTCTTAACCATTTTCAATGATAGATTAGAAGACCGCAAGAGTCTCCTATTGAGTTTGAACGCCCATAGGGCACTGCATCCGAAAGGTAGAGAGTCTGACCCTCCGATAGTCATAATTTGTTGCTTAGTTGATTTCCGTCTTAAGGAGGAAATATTGCGTACAGCGCGGGAGCGCAATCGCGTGCTATATAATGGTGCAGATATTCAATTTTTTCAAGATCTATCCCACCTTACCCTGCAACGCAAAAAAGATTTACATCATTTACTGGATCTCTTACGATCAAGGGGTATTGCCTACCGCTGGATATTTCCATTTGGTCTCTCAGAAACACACATGGGGAGATCGGCGCTCCTGAGAGGATGGATGTAGCACCGTTCTGTGAGGCCCTTGACATTCCAAAAGTGGATATACCCGCTTGGTCTGGAGACTCCCAACTCCCACCCCAGGAAGCAGAGGAAGAACCAATGGAGGCCCACTGTCAGGAATGGACTCGCCAATGGTGGTGGGACTCACCTGCCTTGTGGGCTGCAGTACCAGGGCTGACCAGCGGGTGCTCTCAACAACAAGAAGCTCACTCCTGCAATCAGCCATCACCTGAGGCTGATTGCAGGAGGTGTATTTAAGGAATGGCCAGACCTGCAGTCAGTGCCTTGGTGTATGTTTCCCATGAGCCCCTGTACCTGCATCCTGTCTGCTTCCTGCCTGATTCCTGATTCTGCTTTGATCCTGACTCTGAATGAACTCTGCCTGTTCTGACCTCGGCTATTCCTGACCACTCTCCAGCCTGCTCCTTTGGTACCTTTGTCTGCCCGATGGTTCCTGACCCGGCCCGCCTGACCACTCCACCTCACCAGCCCTGACTGCTCTTGTCTGTGTACATTCCGTTATCAGTTGGAGGATTGGTTTTGTTATATTGTGCGTTTATATTTGTGTATATCTTTAATAAATTATATTGTTACACCATACTTGAGCCTGCGTTTCCCTGTGTCAGTTCACGCATCTCTGGTCTTACCGGCAGCCCTGACATTACACTAAGGCCATTCCTGACCAGAAGTGGCTGCACAGGGAAGCCATCTTGGCTTGTTGTTGGGAAGGATGCATCCTGAGGAGGTGGTATACTTGTATTTGCTAGTCTTAGATGACAGAGAATATGCCTATCAGACTCTGCAGGAGTATACCAGGGATCAGCCGCTAGAATGCATACGGGTCACTCATTCCCTAGTAGATCAGGGCACAGAGTTCTCTGAGGTGCAACCATTGATTCAGTCTTGTGTTGAGTTGGCTTCATCTAGTACCCCTGAAAGCAGGGATGACTTTCTTCCACCATTCAGTGTGGATCAAATAGAATCACTGGTATGGTTGTTGGAGGATGATCCGGATTGCTTCTGGGGACATTATTCAGCATGTTCACCACATGTGCTAGTGGAGTGTATAAACGTAGTGCAGTCTTTGGTCAGACAGGCTATGTGTAAGCAAAGTTTTGTTCAACCAATACTACAGTCCTGGTCAGACTTGTTACACCCAGCCTCAGTCAGCTTGCAACAAACCCGTCCTGCTTCTAATCATTTCTCTGCTCAAAGCTCTATTCCTGCATTCCCGACAGCACCCCCAGTGACAGCCCAATATACCCTGTTATCTACCACATGTCAGTACCCTGTTCCCACTCGCTGCACCTATCCTGCCTTCAACCCTGTAAAAAAGGCAGCTGTAACAACTATTCCCTCCTCTGTTCCACCCTCCAGCTCTCTTCTCTGTCCCCAGCTACTCCATCCAATTACAGACCTGCATTTACTTGCAGTGCCCCAGTAACTAAACCCATGAAGAAGCGAAAATTCTTTCCAACCAGTACCATCCTACCAGTATCCAAATCGGTCAGCCTGCTGTCTGAGAACCCGCCTTCTGTTGTTCAGCCTGATGCCTGATGACCCCATCCAGCCTGATGACCCGGAGTTTCGTGATCCAGCCTAATGGCCCGATCCAGACTGATGACCCGATCCAGCCTGATGACCCGGTGTTCGTGATCCAGCCTGATGGCCCGATCCAGCCTGATGACCCGGTGTTCGTGATCCAGCCTGATGACCGGTGTTCGTGATCCAGCCTGATGACCCGATCGAGCCTGATGATCCGATCCAGCCTGATGACCCGGTATTCGTGATCCAGCCTGATGACCCCGCCCGGCCTGGTGCCTCGGTGCCCGTGGTCTGGCCAGGTGCCTCGGTGGCCGCTGTCGTGCCAGATGACTCGGTGGCCGCTGTCGTGCCAGATGACTCGGTGCCCGCTGTCGTGCCAGATGACTCGGTGCCCGCTGTCGTGCCAGATGACTCGGTGCCCGCTGTTGTGCCTGGTGACTCGGTGCCCGCTGTTGTGCCTGGTGACTCAGTGCCCGCTGTTCTGCCAGATGACTCGGTGCCCGCTGTTCTGCCAGATGACTCGGTGCCCACTGTCGTGCCAGATGACTCGGTGCCCGCTGTCGTGCCAGATGACTCGGTGCCCGCTGTCGTGCCTGGTGACTCGGTGCCCGCTGTCGTGCCAGATGACTCGGTGCCCGCTGTCGTGCCAGATGACTCGGTGCCCGCTGTCGCGCCAGGTGACTCGGTGCCCGCTGTCGTGCCAGGTGACTCGGTGCCCGCTGCCTTGCCTGATGGCCCGGTGCCCACTGTCCCGCCTGATGGCCGGTGCCCGCTGCTCCACCTGATGTGCCTCTGTCCGCTGCCCAGCCTGATGTGCCTCCGTCCGCTGCCCAGCCTGATGTGCCTCCGTCCGCTGCCCAGCCTGATGTGCCTGCGTCCGCTGCCCAGCCTGATGTGCCTGCGCCCGCTGCCCAGCCTGATGTGCCTGCGCCCGCTGCCCAGCCTGATGTGCCTGCGCCCCGCTGCCCAGCCTGATGTGCCTCCGCCCGCTGCCCAGCCTGATGTGCCAGCCCCTGATATCCAGCCAGTTACCTGACCCAGGCGGTGAAACATTTTGCCCACTAAGGACTGTTTGGAGCGTCCTGAGGCCGCTCCTTGAGGGGGGGCCACTGTCAGGAATGGACTCGCCAATGGTGGTGGGACTCACCTGCCTTGTGGGCTGCAGTACCAGGGCTGGCCAGCGGGTGCTCTCAGCAACCAGAAGCTCACTCCTGCAATCAGCCATCACCTGAGGCTGATTGCAGGAGGTGTATTTAAGGAATGGCCAGACCTGCAGTCAGTGCCTTGGTGTATGTTTCCCATGAGCCCCTGTACCTGCATCCTGTCTGCTTCCTGCCTGATTCCTGATTCTGCTTTGATCCTGACTCTGAATGAACTCTGCCTGTCCTGACCTCGGCTATTCCTGACCACTCTCCAGCCTGCTCCTTTGGTACCTTGTTTGCCTGATTGTTCCTGACCCGACCTGTCTGACTACGCTCTGCCTACTCCTTTGTGTCTTGTCTGCCCGATGGTTCCTGACCCAGCCCACCTGACCATTCCACTTCACTAGCCCTGACTGCTCTTGTCTGTGTACATTCCGTTATCAGTTGGAGGTTTGGTTTTGTTATATTGTGCGTTTATATTTTGTGTATACCTTTAATAAATTATATTGTTACACCATACTTGAGCCTGCGTTTCCCTGTGTCAGTTCACGCATCTCTGGTCTTACCGGGAGCCCTGACACCCACTCAGCTGGTTATCATGGAGGAACGAGGCGTCGCAGACTCTTCCACCACACCTCGTCCTCTCCTGCAAGCCGAAGGCTCAACATTGGGGACAATCCTTCAGCCTTTTCCTGCTCACCGTAAGGCAGGTCATGAATGACACTTTTCCTTTCGCCCTTCAAACCATACTCATGCAGTATAGTTTAGTCATTTAATGGCTTTTTTCCGCACTAGGGCTATGATTTCAAGTGCTTCTCTTCCAAACCCTGCCTCCTTTTTATATGTGAAGAGAATTCCAACCACCTGGAGACATAACGCTAAGGTATATGGATTACTTCGGACTGTCCTCTCTTACATGTACAATATCTGCTTATTATATGTGTACACTGATTTTGACTGTGGACACCGAAACCATAGTGGCGCTTGCTCTCTGCGGGCTGTATGGTAGCGGTGCCCACGGAGCAGTTGCCCGAGCTGACCGACTTTGAAGTTTGTAGGATCGATCAATGATGTCCTATCACACCATGCTGGTGACCACGGCTGAGGCAGAAACATGGTACGGTTTTGAGATCCAGTGACTTAGACTGTTTATCGCCCAGGGCATGTGTCTGAGTCACTGAATCTTAACATATTTCGCAATTAGTCTCCCTAGTTTGGGCAATTCTTGCGATTGTGATCTCATGTTTATCTTCAATTGGTATACTGCAGCCTTCTTGAGTTTGCCCGTCAGATACGTTTTATGATCCACGAGCTATTTCGGCATGAGCCATATATTTGTAAGTTCTTATGTAACATTATAGTTCGGTGATATTGCTGATACAGACCTATGCCTTGCCTAAGCACATTCCTCGCCCAATATGTTTATCGTTAACAGTCTTGATTACGTATGTAGGCTTATTATGTCTCCCCATACGCACACATACGCACTCAGATTCCTGCAGTCCCAAGCGTGAAATTGCGGGTAAAGCACTACTGCTCTTTCCCCTTTCTCCCGGTATTTAAACAATACTAACACCCCCCCCCCCCCCGCCTTATAGCTTGACTGCCTCCACATCGTTCCCAATTGTGGGCATAATTTCCCTAGCAATCTAGGTTCCACCTCACTCCTCAACACTAACCCTTTATCTGCCTTTAGACATGATGTGGCACCTTGTATACTAAATAAGATTTAGCTGAAATGGTAGGCACAATATCAGTGTGCTTGGAAGTTGTGTTAGTTTTTAACTATGTGTTTTTGGATTATGTTGGACTACGCTCTAGACCGGCCACAACCACAAGCTACTTTTTCAGTGGGGGGTTTTCTCATCCGCGAGTAGCCAGAGTTTAACTACATATCAGATTGTGGACGGTATTACAGCGTACGACGTACTGGTTGAGACCAAGATTTCTCCTATCTCAGGAATATAAAACCTCAGTTTAGCTTGAGGGTAGGCTCTTGGCTTACGTTTCAGATTGTTACAATGTTATGTACCTGTTATTACTATGGTTTCTTGTACAACTAATGATTTCTCAGTCTACAGTGACATGTTATAAGAAACCGTCTCATGCTGTCTTCTTTGGCCGTACTATATGACGTAGGATCAAACACAGATTGGAAAAATCACTACTAGTATCTAATGCGTATCTTGGAATAGTCTAGTATTTTAACTGTACAATTATACCACATCTTGTGTCATAGTAGCACCTTATGGCCTCCCCAGGACAGTATTACACATGACTAAACACATTAGCAATGACCCTCAGACCATATTTCCTCTATACCCACGAGAGACCATCTTGATTCATACACATTAACTTACACGGTCTTTTAACTAACACACCTTTTTTATATCTTAGTTCACACCTTGTCCCCCATGCTTCCATGCGAACCTCTCTCCTTAACAACTAGCTGAAATCCACCTATCTCCTTGTGTCATGCCTGTCTTTTATTAGACGTTACCTTATACATAATTTTCATCTACCCGATACTGGGCGGGCCCTTGATGTCTTTGGTGGGTCTGCCCTGAGGTACCTCACGGAGGCCGCCTCTGGTTCAGACACATTTCCGACAACTTCTATACACCCATACACAATATGCTAAGTACCTTTTCCACACATAAGACTACTTTTTTAGGATGGCGTAGCTGGACTACTCTGTCCCAGGATTTTATTTCATTAGAGAAGTACTGGAATCACACGGCATCACATCTATTGGTTTTTGAATGTGAATATCTAATGCTTCGCACCTCTACTGTTCTCTGATTCTCTGCACCTCTTTTCTTTCTGTCTTTCATTCTATCTCTCTCCTCTATCTCCCAACCTCCTCACCCCTCCCAAGGAAAGGGGGTGGGTTTTTTTTTTTTTTTCTCCTAAAACAAAATGTCCACTACACGCACACCAGTACAAACTCACCATACACTCACTGTAGCATCTCTCAATGCGAGAGGCTTAAATACACCGGAGAAACGTTCTCAACTCTTAAAATACATGAAAAGTTTACGAGCAGATGTGCTTTTCGTGCAAGAAACACATTTTCGTGCTGATCATACCCCCAAGTTTGCTAATGTCCACTATCCCACAGCATACCATTCAGTTAATACAGAGGTAAAAGCAAAAGGAGTATCCATTTTGATCTCCAAAACACTCCCGCTCGTAATTACCAAATCTCGAGGATCCCGAAGGCAGATTCCTCTTCCTTAAAGGCAGCCTACACAACAAACCGCTAACTCTAGTAAACATTTATAGCCCTAATACAGCGCAAGTGAGTTTTTTCTGCAAAATCTCCAAAATTCTAGCAGCATTTCAATCGGGTATCTTGATTCTTGGAGGTGATTTTGATGTGGCACTGAATCCTTTAGTAGATACGACGACAGGCTTCTCATCGAAACCCTACCGAGCTCTTAAACAGATTAAGATCGAATTGAACGACCTTCTTCTCCATGATACATGGCGTACACTACACCCCTCTGACAAAGACTACACTTTTTTCTCAGCGCCGCACAAACGTCACTCCAGAATTGACTACCTATTTATGTCGCAAAAAGACTTACATACATTGAAGTCAGCCTCCATTGAACCAATGATTCTATCTGACCACCATCCCATTACGATGGCTTTGCAGCTTCACGATGCCCCTCCTACTTCTAAAACATGGAGATTAGATCCCTTTCTCCTTACGGACTTACCCGTTATCAATCAAATGCGCAAATCTTTGACCAATTATTATAGGGAAAACTCGTCCTCGAAAACGACTCCCCTTACTCAATGGGAAGCACACAAATGTGTGATTCATGGAAACGTAAGGCTCAGGAGTCCTTTACCTCCATACTTCAAAAAGTACGTAAACTGGAATTATTAACCACTTGAGCTCCAGAGGATTTACCCCCCTTAATGACCAGGCCTCTTTTTCCTACTCGGCGCTGCACTAATTCAACTGATAATTGCGCGGTCATGCAATGCTGCACCCAAACGAAATTTACGTCCTTTTTTTTAACACAAATAGAGCTTTCTTTCGGTGGTATTTGATCATCTGTGCGCTTTTTATTTTTCACGCTATAAACAAAAAAAGGCCAAAAATTTTGAAGAAAAACAATATTTTTTACTTTCAGCTATAAAAAAAATATATAGTAAACTCAAAGTTGGTTATAAATTTAGGCCAAAATGTATTCTGCTACATGTTTTTGGTAAAAAAAATCCCAATGAGTGTATATTGATTGCTTTGTGTGGAAGTTATAGCGTCTACAAACTATGGTATAAATACTGCAACTTATGCCATTTTTCTGCTATACAGCGCTGCGCTAGTTTAACGGACAATTGCGCGGTCATGCAATACGGTACATAAATGAAATTTACATCCTTTTTTTCCCCCACAAATTGAGCTTTCTTTTGGTGGTATTTGATCGCCTGTGCGGTTTTTATTTTTTGCGCTATAAAAAAAAAGGCTGACAATTTTGAGGAAAAAAAAACAATATTTTGGACTTTTTGCTATAAAACATGTTCAGTAAAAAAAAAATGCAAAAATCAAATTTAGTCATAAATTTCTGCCAAAATGCATTCTGCGACATGTCTTTGCTAAAAAAACAAATGGTACGTGTAAATTAATTGGTTTACGTGAAAGTTATAGCGTTTACAAATGGTGGGAAAGATACTGGGATTTTTAGAGGTTTTTTTATACTAATAAT